ATAATGTAATTATAGTTCAGCCCCTATTTTATATGACGTTTAAAGATTTTTTATTTCTATTTCTGGCTTTCATAAAGGATAGTGTTATGAACGCAGCTTCCTAGATCACTGGTCGATATTGGAAACAAAGGAGCGGCAGATTTGATTTTAACCAATCACATCGTCGCATTCGACCGTTATTGTTATGTCAACGAAGATGAAAGAGCGGCTGTGGATACATTTTGGGTCCTGTCATATAGTAAACGAACTGACCGCTTCTCCTGTCTTCCTTCAGTTTAAATTCAATTTATAACTGTTTTAACGGTGTTTACTGTTCAGTAGTGAGACGTAAGAATTTAAAAAGTCGCTGCAGTTTTAATATTAAATATATATCTCCGGACACTTGCTGTAATCAGACGCTCTTACAGTTAACTGTTCTTTGTTCCTGGCATTCAATAAATATCAAGCAATGGAAGTTGAAACGAAATGTAAGTGAAATACATTTTAATTTTCGCTTTATTTATATCGTAATTATTATAAGTGAAATCCAATATTACAAATGAACTCGGATGATGTACAGAAATAAAATTTACTTTCATATGACATATTCGCCCATTGTTTACAAAGAATGAACTGCTATAATTTTCGAAACTTTAAAATTTACAGTTTTATTATTAAAGGCATTCGAAGATAGAAATACTATCATGAAGTAGTAGAATAAGTGGATAAACTGTGTTTCTATTTTTTAATTAAATGCCTATTGCATCGAGTAGTAGTTTTTTTGGGGATTCTTCCAACTATTCGGTCTTCTTTTATTCTTTTTTCTCATTATGGCCATCTTTTAATAAACATAAATTACATAAGTGCTATGATTTTACAGAATTTCTGTATTCATATTCTGTTTCCATACTCTTTTAATATTTTATATTTTTCGATAGTGAAAATAAACAAACAATACCTTTGTTAGTAAATAACTTCATCATTAATGATAACAGTTCTTATCGGAAAAATTAAGTAATGATGATAAGACCTAATATTTAAGGCGCAAATTTAAAATATTGAATAAAAAGTAGGTACTTTGGAAAAGTAATACAATAGTAAACGCCAACGACGTTCCTTTAAAATCAATCCTTTGATTTTTCCAGAGGATGTATTTAACATTAACGATTTATGGTGTTTTTCGCTCAGATTCACTTTCTGTACTATGGCAATTAGATCATCTTAAATCAAGCATATATTTTATTCATAAATATGTATTTTTATGATCATTCTTGATGGATCTAAAACATGTAAATTTTGTGATATTTGACAAAATTACATGTGAATCGTCTAGATTTGTGTGATACTAAATTGGCTAATAGACATGTATCGTTAACTCTGGTATCGTTTTTGTGTTCACAATCACGCTTCACGATGTTCTATACTTTTATTTAAATATTAAATAGAGATATATTTATATAAAGGCGATGTTTAGTTCTGGGTAGACAAAGATTTATGGCCGTTGTTAATTGATAACACATTCGTAGTCATGCCCGAAAATTGATATTTTATGAGACTGTCTTTTCTTGCAATACTATAACTGCATACAATATGTATCATAAAATTGATGGAATACAATGTAAACTTAATAGCTGTTACGAATCTAGTAAAAGTTACGAAGGTTAGATTCGTGATTAATCTCTTTGTATTTAACAACATACTATTAGCTACTATTCGATTTAATAAAGGCGCAACGACCCTTTATTTTCGAAATCTTCGTGGGGTTCTTACCCATTTAAACCCCCTCGGTGGCCAATCCTGTACGTTTGGAGGGATTCTCCCACGGAACGACCCTAACCGCATCTAGGCGTGCATGGACAAATTCTGAACTATATTCTGCTCCCTCTGTACCGCCTCCTATCGTAGTCTAGCTCGAACGGATCTTTACTTCAATTATCCACTTCTACCAATATCTAGGCCGCCCAGCCGGTTTTTATTTTTTATTTTAACAAAGTAACTCTACAGACTCGTGGTCCGTACTCTTTTTTTTGGTTAACATGTTTTTTTTTTTTTTTTTTTTTTTTTTTTAATTTTCTTTTTGGGCTGTCGCCGCCGCGTACATCAACCGGGCTGGTAGTGGTGCAGCAGTGAGTTGATATTTATATATATATATATATATATATATATATATATATATATATATATTATTATTATTATTATTTCATACATATATATAAAATAATTAATATATATATATATATATATATATATATATATATACAGCGTGTCGTTACCATCGCGACAATAAATGAACACACATATAGGGGATATTATTTTATGATATAATTTTTAAAGTTGTATTAAACATTTAAATTCTTTAATCATCAATATTTACAGAGTTATTAAATTTTCCAAAACAAAGAATTTTAGAACACCTTACCTATAAAAGCGTAACGTAAAGTTAATTTGTAAAGGTCACAAAGCATATGAATGGGTTGAATGAATTTAAAAGAGACAAAACATACTGTTAGAAGGAGAGGCTTGTAACACGACGCTGTGGCGCGAGTTGTATAGGTGTTACAAATTTTGTTTCTTTTTTACTTAATTAGTTTGTTTGAAAAAAAATATTTTTTAATTATGGATTTTGTTTAACGTTAACATTTTTTTATGATTATTGGCAAGTAGCGTTAAACGTGTGTTCATTTATTGTCGCGATGGTAACGACACGCTGTATATATATATATTTGATCTGCACAGTTTTTGCTGTAGGGACAATGGACGGAGATCTCGTCGTCGCAGGTTATTTGGTAATAGGTGTTATTCGCCCAGCCGGTTAGCACCCGTTAAGTGAAAATAGGAAAATGCCTTTACATGCTTACCCCATAAGGCGGCAGGATGAGCGGTTGTGGTGGTATGCAGTCCCGGATAGACGTTATAGAAAACCAGTTTGCGCCTTCTTGTTGCATTGATCGAGAAAAGACAAAGGTAAAAATTCCGAACAGTACGTCTCGTTTTTCAAGCTAGAAAAAATTTTAATCGATAGAGAAATGTTAATAATTAAATATTACATACATGAAAACCAAGGCAAACACTTACTTTTAATAAAAAAAAATATATTTTAAACTTGTTATTTTCACTAAATAAATCCGCCATTTTGTGTTTGACAACATGTATAAATTTACGAATTCACACACTTTTCCAAATTATAACCTTTGCATTATTAAAAAAGAGTCTTTAAAAATACTAAAAGTACTGTTACACTAAAGTTTTCTGGGTGGTTATAAAAAAAGAACCTATCCGAGGCGGATCGCTCTGTGTCGGATCTGTGACTCATTTTGAACCTAATATTCGAGACATTAAGTGTACACTAAGTCACAAATTTTAAATTTTAGAAATTGTTAATAATTCATGTTCATGAAGTAGAAACTTGTGTTTTTGTGATATATCTGTGTATTTGTGTCCTCTTACAGCGTAAAAAGTGAAAACGTAAGTTTTTAACTTAAAATAATAGTCTATAATGAATAATGGACGCACAGTAATGACGGATTTCAGTTGTATGAAATTTAAAAACTTTGTTAATTTTTTCCTCATAATCTAGTGGTTTTCATTGATTATAACTTATATAATATTTAGTTATTAACATTTCTCTATAGATTAAATTTTTTTTCTAGCTTGAAAAACGAGACGTACTATTCGGAATATTAGCAAAGACAAAAATTAAATTGAGCGTCATTGAGTTTTTATGTATACTATTACTTATACTTTCTTACTTTTTTTTTTCTTAATCCGCTTTCAAGCTTCCAAACCCTTTTCTTAAATAGAGCTAGAATCTTACGTAGTACCTTCTGCTCCGACACAGAGAAGTTTCTTCTCAACTTTAAATTTAGCGTACAGGATTCTCATCCGTACATCAGGACCATTGAACCTATCCTGAATACATCAGGATATGTTAAACGAAAATAGTCCATCAAGTTTAACACGAAAAGAGAAAAATTACATGCAAAGGTATGCATGTGCATATTTCCCGAAGCTGTAATTAACAATGCAGAACAAAGCATTTAAAGGATCAATTTGATACACGAAACTTTCGTACAACCTTTTTTGGGTTACTCCAAAGATATTTGCATAATAACGGTTGACGACGTTATCGGAAGACGTTAAAATGACATCATGCGGCAACTGGCCGATTAATTAACAACGTTGCTTGAGGCGAATTTTTAAGATCAACACCGGTTCTATAGTGTAATGGGAACGTTTAGTTTTCCCGAAAAATCTTTAAAATCTTACATTTCTCTTTCGAAACATTTTGCCACACGGTTCAAAGATAACATCTATTGTAAATAACTACAATGGCACAAGTGAGTGAGGATTGTGTACTGTCGTCACATTAGTCATCGCGACGTTTAAACTCGTTCCAATTGTGGAATGGATGTTTGTCTGCGGAGGCGGGGGCCGTTTATCGTCGTTCGAACCCGCGACCGTTGGAAGCAAAGCCGGCCGCGATGAACGCGTGAGTCATAGGTGGTTTTCGACGGTTACTTGTGTTTTATGTTCAGTATTTGGTTCAGGTATCTTATAGTTGGTGTCCAGTTAAAGCTTATGAAAACAAGGAATTAAACTAGGTACAATTAAAAGACAAAAATGCGATACTTATAATTTTATATGTAGGATATCTATTTACTGACACAATTATACTATGTCATCACGCACGGATGATTTGTTTTGAGGTGGTAGGACCACGCAAACAGTATTCGCTGTCGCACTAATGGGCAGGTCCGTCCGGAGTAGTACCACGACCTCACTGAAGACCGGTGTAAAGTAGTAGTGTAACACTTCTGCGTTTCGTCTGGTGAGTGAGGTAGCCGGGGCCCACATTATTAAAAGTTAGCAACACAACTGCAACCGGTGTTGCAAATGTCCGTGGGCGGCGGCTATCACTTAACATCAGGTGAACCGCCAGCTCGGTTGCCACTTTATCACATAAAAAAAACCTGCTAAAAAGAATTTCATTTATTAGGTTGGTTTCCATATAGATAGATTTATCTATTGGTCGGACATGAGTACGCGTTACAGCTCGAAGCTAGCGACGCGGCGCACGACGGCAGATGTGCACGCTTGAACGTGTACATATCGCGGACATGTGTCGTCGGAACGATGTCAATCCGTCTGAGCCGCGTAACGGTAAGCCGCCTGAGCTGGGAGCCGATCTGATTAGGGCAGCCGGCCTCCGTAGTTAGTTGATTTTCAACAAACCGTCCGTCACGAGTAGGGTGACCATGAATAGACCATGATGACGGGATGCCTGTCTATGATGCAAGAAGTGTCTGATTCTCAGGAAAAATCCTGTCTGAAATTAAAAAGAAGCGATCAAGTGCGAGTCGAATTCGTAGGCCGAGGGCTCCGTACCTACACATTATACCGCTTTTTTATCGAGTTGACTTAGGAACTTAATTTTTATACACCTGATAGGGACTATAGACTTAATTATCTGGTATAAATTTTAACTTGCTAGGTCCACCCGTTCCTGAGAAAATCGGTGTAACACACGGACAGACAAACGGACAATAGAGTGATCTTTTAAGGGAACCCTAAAAAGTTGCGGTAGGTGGGTAACGAAATCATATTAATGTACGAAATCCGACAAAAAGGCGCGAAATTTTAAAATGCCTGTCAGGTGGTAACCCTAGTAGCGAGCCGCGGTTCGTCGCGTTTTCATTCCCAATGCGAACAATTTGAACGTTGAACGGACACAGTATGACTAACCTCTTTGCGTCGTGTTCGTATTTTGAATTTTTTTTTTTTTTTTTTTATTTCGCGTTATAGTCATTGCAGGAGGTCAAACCGTTGATATTAGTGCACGTTGTATTTAGTTATTAATCTCTTTGTACTGCCATAATCACAATCATGTTATTGTTACAAATCTGTCTTTTTAGTCGTCTGTCTCATCTAAAGGATGATAATGTTTTTCGACCATAATTATGTGTACTACTAGGGTGTTAAGTGAGTTCTGTAGAAATATTTCTTGTTTATTTTTGTTTATTTGTTGGTTTCATTACCGTTATTGAAAACAACTGATAACTCAAGACGAACATTCAAAAGGTACAGAAATTATAATAAAAAATACCTTGTAAGTCTGTTAGCACCGGGAAAAATAATGGAAACGTCTGGAATCTGTTTCGATTCGACTTCCAAAGCAAGGAGGAAGACTCGTAGGGAATAATTTATTTCTCCCTAATACAGTGGAATTATTCAGGGTATCGGCGATCAAATCATCTCATTTTTGAAGATTATATTTTATAAATAAGCTTCATTATCGAAAAATCTTTTCAATAATGAGCTTATGTTTTTTAATGTTTAACAAATAGTCTTTATTATTAACCTAGCTTTTTAATTATTTTACAAAATTGAAATGGAACACACACATACAAGGAAAAATATTTTTAATTTTGGGCAAGCTATGTCACCAAATCTTCATCAGAATCAGACGAATGGTTCACTAGCGTATAGTGGACCACCACACAAACATTCATTTTTATTTATAATTATAATTATTAATAATTATTAACATTGTTATTTGCCCTGGGAATCGAATTTGGGAGAAAACGATTGGCATGGTGATAATATTAACAACTAACTGTGCTAGGGCCACGCAACAGGATTCACTGTTGAACGAATGGACAGGTCCGTCCGGTGAAGTAACACAAAAGACCTACGTGAAGTGCAGTTTTTTAGGACAAAAAGGTTTCTGGGATATAGGATATAGGATCCGATGTATCGATGTATCGATATTTTCTCTTCGATATTAAGAAATATATCGATATTTTTTGTAAATATCGATATATTTCTTCGCTTTAGACATCCTTAGTTCACGGTTAATTAGCCGCCAATTGGAAAGTTCCTAGGCGAGCTTCTGTGTCCGCAACAACAATGCCCACACGCTTTTCACAATATACCGAAGCCAGGAAGACCTGGCCATCATTGGAGCGGCCGCCCGTACTGTTCTTGTCTAATGGCCTGTGAAGCGAAGACCACATCGCGTTCATCATTAGAAACGGTTCGCTGCCGTCGATATGATTTAAATTATCGTTTTAATATTCCTCTGAAGTACCGCTTAAATATTTACCTCTTAGTAATTCATTCTTATGTGGAAATTGATTACATACATTCTGTTTTTTTTTCTATATTTTTTGATATTAGGTCGAGTGCACGACCTTAAATGGGCCGAGGCCCGCTTTATTAAAATGGTGGCAACGCATCTGTAACCATACTGGGTGTTACAAATGTCAATGGGTAGTGGTTATCATTTAACATCAGGTGAACCGCGAACTCGTTAAAACAACCACCACCTTCTCGGATAAAAGAACTTTTGTTATTTAAATTTATTTTGATGACTCTGTGGCTTTTATTTGGCTTCGGCGTCTGGGGTCGCGGTTTCGATTCCCACACGGGACTACTATTTGTGCGACCCACAGTTTCGTATCTGGGTGTTTGTCCACGTGGAATTTATGTTTGTATAAACGTCCTTACAACACAGGATAATGTTATCCCAAAGTGAGAGCAATGTTTTTTAAAAAATAAAGAAACAAAAAAGAAAAAAGAAATTGTTACTGTAATCTATCAGGAGATGTATTCATTTATTTACATTTGGCTTAGTGGTTAAAGCGTCCGATTCCCGCCGCTGTGAATAACTTTTCGTCCATTTTTCTGCAAACCTTTAATGATTCATCTTAAGTGAAGAGATTAGCACTATAAAACTTAATATAAACAATTCAACTATTATAGTAACTCGTTCAGAATTACCATAGACGAATACTTTCATCGTATTCAACGAAAAGCCAAATGGTGATAACGTGGCCCAATATTTGATGGTCTCCCAAAGCACTATTCGTTGCATATCTTATTACAATAAATATTTTTTTTAAGTGAAATAAGAAATAAAAAACTCAGAACAGCACTAATATAATTATGTGGTCATAAATTGACCAATGCAATTTATTTGGGGTCCGGCTCTTATGTTATATAGGGCTATAGAAATACATATAAACACACCAAAGCACAATACTTAAGAATAAGTCGTAAATTCGTGTTTCTATTTAAACTTCGATTAATCTCATCCGTTTTTCACGAGCAGGGGGGGGGGGGGGGGCGGAGGAGATACCTCAGCGGGCAAGGGCCTTGAGCGTTTATTGAATTGACACTAAGAAAATCCATTCCTCCAAGGGCGTTGATTAAAAGTAAGCGCGAGACGCAGGGTTGCCAACCCTTTTGGAACGCTCTCAAAAGTTTTGAGGGAGGCTTACGTTCAACAGTGGTCGGCAGTAGGCTGATATTGTATTGTTGTATTTACATTTTCTTATTTAAATAGTCTGTAGTTGGACTGCATGGAAGTGTTGGCACATACGGGGAAGCACTTCCACTGTGGTAGGGCCACGCAACAGTGTTCACTGTTGCACGAAAGGGCAGGTCCGTCCGGGTAAGTACCACTACCTCACAGAAGACCGGCGTAAAGTAGAAGTGTTACATGTGTGTGGTGAGTGAGGTAGCCGGAGCCCATTAAATTTAAAGGTGGCAACGCGTTTGCAACGCTACGGGTGTTGGAAAAGCCCATGGGCGGCGTTTATCACTTAACATCAGGTGAACCGTCAGCTCGTTTGCCACTTTTTCACATAGTTTCAGTCGGCGTCCACTAATGTTTGGGGACAGAAATTCTTTTTACATTTTATCGTTTTTAAGTTAATGAATTCATATTAGTAAATATGTAATTTGGTTTTCCCACAATATCTGCACTCAGTTATGATACAAATTAGAAATAAAGTGAGCAGATATCTGGATCTGTCAAATTCTGGGACCGCTAAAGTAAGAGATATGTGACTGAAATTGAAGTGTCTTTTAAATTGAAAAGTCTTTTAGGTGTCAGCCCTGACACTACGTCGAATCTCGATAGGCCTGAAGGCGCTGCGGGTGGATTCAATACATCGGAACAGGGTAATGCAATTCCTCCCGCCCGCCTAATAGCGTCGTTTTAAGCCGCAAGCTTTGTTCATTTCCCGCGGATGGATGGACCGCCATTAACTCGGCTTGGGCGAGCCGCGACTCATACGCTTAGGGCTGTGCCGAAGCGATTTTGTGCTTTTGAAATTATACTAATTTTCGTGTTCCACGATATGTGCAAGACCACGATTCTTAAGATATCACTGGTATTAGCATTTTATCAGTGTGCTCTGTTTCGAACTAATAACAAGCTTATGTTATCCTACTATTACAAGAATATTAAGGTATAAAATCAACTGTCTAAGTGAAAAACAAACGTTTGACGAATGGATTTTTAATTTGTCAGCGTATTGGCTAGTTTATTCAAATAAAAAATCATCTCACTTAGACTTGAACGAGCAGCCAAATCGCAACGGAATTATTAAAGTCTGATTTTGTTAAGGGTACATTTTTTGCCGGTGTGTGTGGCGGTTGCGAATAATTGAGCCATTTTAAACGTGTTAAATGTAAACGCCGAGCAAACCGCGGGGCGTGTTTATTCGCGTGCTGGTAACGCGATCTCTCTGTGTACGAATGTACCCCCATTTGGGTACCCTATTGGGCGGTCTCATTACCATATCAAAGCGCCATAACATCGGATCGACCCGAGGCGCGGTTATTGCGCAAATATTGACCGTTGTCGCTCGTCGACCGCGTGCGGAATTGGAACTCAGCTAGCTGTCTGCGGATAACAATGATTTATGCGTCTGCCTTACGGAATTGTTTGCAAAGAGATTATCGTTAGGTTCATCTCTGATGTTTAAATATTAGGCCCGTAAGGGACGGCGATTGCTTATTTATTTAAAAAAATATTGTTTACACTCCAACGTAAACAAAAAACTGAATGCTAATAAGCATTCAACTTCCGAGTTCCGGTCAACACTACGATTAGCGAAAATTTGACTTACGTGTAAAACAAAGAAATGTACATTTTATAGAAATATACTTTACATAAATTAAAATAATTACTGATGAGGAAAAAAGTTTCTCGAATGGCATCCAATACTATGATCTATCTATAATAGGATCGAATTGTAGGATGAGATCCCACTAGATGGAGTGATAATCGGTGCAAATGTGCGGGAAGACGACGGATGCAGGTGGCTAGGGGTCGTGCATCGTGGCGCTCTAGTGGTGGAATAAAACGGTGGTAAAACGCGGTGACGTTAAATTATCTACAACGGATGTGCATTGGGCATATGTATATCTGTGTAGCTGTAGATGGACGAGGCGAAATGATAATCTCTTTTTTTTTCTTTTCATTGCTCTGATAGACGTGATACTTTTTAAACGGATTTACTCTTATAATATAGTGATAGCCCAGTGTCCTGGGCCAATATACTCGAGCAACCTGAGTTCGATCCCCGGTGCCGGCACCAATGAAGTTTTTAACTTTAAGTGCTGACCTATCACGTGCTCCGCGGTGAAGGAAAACATCGTGAGGAAACCTGCATATTTTCGAAATAATAACAAAAAAATATATATATTTCGAAGATATGTGAAGTCCGCCAATCCGCAGTGGGGCCGCGTGGTGGACTATGCCCTGATACCCTCTGTATAGAGGAGGCCATTTGCCCAGCAGTGGGACACGTATAGGCTGTTATATTACTCTTATAATATTATGTGGGTTAATTAAATATATTAATTCTCTGTAACAAAGCTGACATATATGCCATGCGTCTCTCTTCTGAATGTTTCTGTTTATAATTTTTACCAGCTAAAGTTAATCGATTCGATCTTTGCTCATGTTCATGATTACACCACATTTTTATTTCCCACTATTTGTATATGTAGAAGAGTCATTTCGCCTATTAATTTCAACAACAATAGGGTTCGTTGCTCTGTAACAATGATAGTATGACGGTGCAGAAATTGCACGGTCACAGTAAAAGAAAAAAATGAAGGTCCCGTTTTGAAGAGAATATCGTTTGTGTATTTTTGCAATGAGGTCATTGGCCTATATTGTTGTACTACTAGGCTACTGAATATATCTTGAATAAATATTGTGTTGAAAGGGGCTGATGTGACTGTCGAAAGCTTTATAATTATTGCTTTGTAACCGTGATAGTCAATTACGGATACGTGTCCACTTCAACCAAATTCAGGATTCCCTGCAAATAATTAAACTAATTTAGTTTTAAATAACTATTTAGCAAATATATTCATCATAATTTACTTCATGCTTCTTTTATTCCTTACATTTAAACACATAGTTGTGTCATTATTTGCTTACGCAGCTTTTGTGTTTATTATTATCGAGGAGACTTATTTGATGACCGTTTTTGTTATACTGACTTGTATTTTTGTTTCTAGAAAACAGTCATGTGCAAGTCCAAGTCAAAGCCACAATTTAAATATATTTCTCTCACGTTGTAATGTTTTTCACTTTCTATTTTCCGCATACGGCCTCGTAATGCTTTCAAAATGTGCCAAGTGTGTTTTTGCTTGCCCGAAAGAGCCCTCGAGCACTTCAACCTAAATGCGAGGGACGCAACTTTAAAAAGAGATACCCAACCAGTTTCCTTGAGGGACGTTTAAAAAAGCGGTACACACATGTTTTGGTGCTTTTTCTTGAGTTTGTGCAAATATTGTTACCTTTGACTATATACATATAGATACGGACTATATATAGATACGGGCTAGAGGGTTGTACTATTATCTGACATTGTCGTTATAATAAGTGATCGAGAAACTATCGCTAAATTAACTTAAGGTTTATGAGCTAATTATCTTCTCCCTTTAAAGTAGAAATCTCACAGAAAGCTAGCGTAGTTTAAAATCAAATTTAATTTCATCCAATCGCAGTTAATACTATTTTCTTTTTTCTTATAGTATATATAAAAGTCTTTAACGATGTCACAAGTAGCTTTTAAATAAAATTTGTAAACTTCTCTTGTTTTAACTTTAAGCTTCTAATAATGTTATGATTTATATTAATGGTAAACACCATCTTTGTCATATTTCACGTTTTCTGATTACGATTCCGTTTGCAGTGTCTCACACGACAAGCTCACCG